ACACAGCCACCCGTAGTCTCAGGCCACATAAAGCAGGTCAGGGGACAGGACGTCTGCTTTGGTGGAGCAAAGGGGACAAGAAGGACCCTGGCTGTTTGATGGTCTCTCCCAGCGTTTCCGTGGCTGCTGGGTTGTCAGCGTCTCACCTGGGGAGATCCCTTTCCCGTTTGCCTTTGGCGTGCGGAGTATGTGTCACTCTCTGCAGAACCCATGATGTGTGAGGTCATGGGTTCCTGAAAATTACACCCCCAGATGCAAGCTTTCAGGTAAGGAACCCCTCGGAAAGAAAACAAAGACAACCAAAGGAGAAGGTGCCAAGACAGACCTGCTCAGATAGCGCATGTCCAAATGCTCCATCACCAGCATGCTGCCGCCTCCCGGGGCGTCGAGGACCTTGATGGGCTTGGGCGCTTTCACTGTGCCCGTTCTCAGGATGGCCATTAGACTTGCCATCTCACCTTCAAACATTCTCTTGGCCTTTCCGAAAAATAACGGAGATGGAGAAGAGAAGGGAGAGCCAGATTACTTCCGGAAAGGTTCTACTTGGACATGTTTTCTTGAGCATTACAATTTCTTTTTAACGTTTTTTTAACATTTACTTATTTTTGAGAGCAGGCGAGCGAGAGAGCACGTTGGTGCACATGCACGTATGAGCAGGGGAGGGGCAGAGAGAGAGGGACACAGGGTCCCACGCAGGCTCCAGGCTCCAAGCTGTCAGTACAGAGCCCCATGCGGGGCTTGAACTCACAAACAGTGAGATCATGACCTGAGCGGAAGGCAGACACTTAACCGACCGAGCCCCACTGGCACCGGCACCCCACGAGCATTACAATTTCAGTCCAAGGCTGTCCTGACTGCAGACTCAGCAGACACAGGCAGCTTTTCTAGCTTTTCGGCAGAGTGGATTACACGCTCTGAAGCTGCACGGGGGTAAGAGCGACGATACTTCCTCATTCTGGACCTTAATCTGCACTCCCGTGAGTCTCTCCTGGGAGGGAAGTAAAAGGCCTCTCACATTCCACTGAGCGCCTAGTGTGGAGCCAGACTGTGTACGTGGGCCATCGTCAGACAGCACCTCACCCGCAGTCCTGTCCCACCAGACCCTCCACCTGCACAGGCCAGGAACCAGGGGCCACCTCTCACTGGGTCTGAGGGCACCTCCCACCTCGCCCAGGAAGACATCCCAACTAGAGCACCACGTCCATCCTCTCCCCCAGACTGCAGCAACCATCCTTACTTCGTCTTCTGGCTGACCACGGCAGGGGCCCTTACCGAAGGCAAATCCCACCCTGGAACACACCCTGAGCTAGCAACTTGCACCACAGCAGCTGGGATCTGGCCCCAGCCACTTTCCTATGCTCATCTGGGGCCCCTTCCCCAGGCCTCACCCCATACCTCCATATACCGCTGTGCACACACCGCACATGCACACACATCCCTGTGCCCTGGGTTACAGCCTTCTTTTAGTTGCCCAAAGATCGAAGCTTCAATGTGCAGGGGCACGTCTGCTTGGAACACCACTCCCACCTTTTGCCAGGTCAGACCCTTCATCACCACGCTTCAGATCTTAAGATGTTCTGACTTCTCAGAAAAATCTGCCCTAACTTCCCACACTAGGTAACTATTCCCTTCAAAAGTTGTTTGTTTGTTTGTTTGTTTTTTATTTTGCTAGAGCATGCGAGCACAAGTAGGGGAGGGGCAGAAAGAGAGGGAGAGAGAGAATCCCAAGCAGGTTCCACACTGTCAGCACAGAGCCGGATGCGGGGCTCGAACTCACAAACCGTGAGATCATGACCTGAGCCAAAGTCGAGTCGGACGTGTGACTGACTGAGCCACCTAGGCGCCCCACCACTCCCTTTAAAGTTGCTTTTATTTTAAGTCAAAATGTACACAAACATGAGCAGAAAAGGGCACAAGCGGGAGCATCTGATTCCAATTCTCAGTAAGTCCAGACGTGGTGTGACCGCTGCCCGGAGGCTCCACAGCCCCCAGCCGCCTGCTCCACACAGATTTGCCTCGTCTGCTTTGTCCTTCTACATGCAGAGGCAGACAGTCTGGCTTCTATGTCTCACTGCCTTTGTTATGCTGCTGCATCAACAGAGGTTATTCTCACTGCTGCACAGAGCTCCACAGCGCGAACATTCCGGAATGGGCTCACCCAGCATACTGGGGACAGACAGCTGGGCTTCCAGCATGGGGCTACTTATTGTCAGGACTGACTCTGTGACCTCAGCCAAGTTACTTAGAGTCTCTGTGCCTGTTTCCGCACGTGTAAAAACGGGGTCAAAAACAGTACCAATCTCACAGGCCATAAGTAACTGAGTTAGCAGCCAACACTTACTAGGCCCATTCCAAACACTTTATAAACGGTGCTATTATCGTACTACCTTCTACCGAGGAGGAAGATAAGAGCTGTGCCTTGAGAATTTTCCAAACGTTCTCTTTAGGAAATAAAGGCAAAACGACTGGGCCCCGGCTGCACTTTGTACTAGAGCACTGGTCGTGAAAAGGGGAGTAAGGCGTAGAATAAAAACAATAATCACCTGGGGAGAGGTGCAGGGGGATCTGTGAACATAGCCAGAGGTGAAGCCTCCCTCAGAGAAGTGTCTGCTGCTCCTCGAGAGGAGGGAGAAGTAGGCAGCAGGTGTGGGTAGGCCTACACAAAAGATCTGGAGCTTAAGGGAGGAGGAGGGGAGGAACCCAGCATGCAATTAGGCAAGACAGAGACGAATAGTCTTATTTAGAGGGGTCAATTCAAGCGGGGTGAGAAGGAAGAGAGAAGAGCAATGGTGCAGTCTCCTCCCGGAAGGGTTGGAAGGTATTTTCACCTCCTACAAGGTAAAGCAGTACAAAGTCCTGTTTCCCATACGACCGGCAGATGTTTATGCTACGGCCAGCACATCTGCATAACTCACATAGTATTTTCAAAGCAAGCTAGAAATTTGGAACTATCTACCAAAGGACAAGAAGGAACTTATGTGAGGAAGATTGGCAAAAAGAAAACGGACTTGGGGTGCTCACAGCTGGCTTGGTCAGTGGAGCGTGTGACTCAATCTTGGGGTTGTGAGTTCGAGCCCCACGTTGGGCGTAGAGATTACTTAAATATAAAATCTTAATATAAAAATAAAAAAAGAAAGGAGATGGACTTTGATGACAAAAGAAGAACCTGAAGAAATAGCACCAGCAGAACAAGGCTTGAAAAGTGTCACTAAGTGGACCTACTGTCATCATCAGAAAGTATTTGCTTCCCCTCTAACAAACACAGTCTTGAATTGTAATAAATGCCAGCAAGGTCCAAACACAAACATGCCTTATAAACGGGAAGCACACACACCGGAGAAGCCCCCGCAGCAGGACGTGGGGAGGGACAGCACCCACACTAGGACCGCGTGAAGGCACTCCAAGCACAAACGCTGACAAATCCCTGAAAGGACGCAGCACTGGGCGCAGCTGATCTCCCCACAACAAAGGGCTGAAGGCTGGTCTAGGAGAGCAGCGCGTCAGAGAGAAATTATCCCCAACCACGGAGGGTGCGGCGCGCACCCGGGAAGAAAATGAAACACCTGCAGGAGTGAACGAAAGCAAGCCAGGTGTGCGATACGCGGCCCTGGTCCTGGGGTCAGTCCCTGCAGCCCTGTTTGCAACAAGGCATTGCCTGATCCCGCCCATTGCCTACGGGAGCCAGCCTGGGCCGTCCAGAGGAGAGTCCTGGGGTGACCCACCCAGACTGGGCAGCGAGGTGACACCAACACCTAGGGGGAAGCACAAGGTCAGCAGCAGTGAGGTTCACCTACTTTCCACAGGGCCCTCTCCAAGTTCCTGCAGGAACAGAAGTTTTCGGAGTGGGTGGCCCGTCCCCCCAGGCCTATGTTGACACCCGCAATGTGACGGTGTTAGAAGGCGATCAGGCTCCATGTGGCTGGAGCCCTCATACTGGGACCAGGGCTCTTAGGAAAGAGGCCCCAGAGGGCTCCCTTGCCCATGTGACAGGTGCGGACACAGGGAGAAGTCCCCTTCCCCATCACGAAGTGGGCTGTCACCAGACACCTTCCAGCGCCCAGAGGGGAGAAGAGCCGTCCGCTCTCAAGCTGTCCGCTCTGTGCTCTCCGTTACCCCGCGCGCCCCAATGACCGAGGCGGTGGCTACGTTATCTTCGGTAATTCAGAAAGGTCCCAGGACGAGAGAGCCTTCTACTACCAGCCCTTGTTCAAAACTCCCCAAACAGGGGACTTTCTCAAAGGAGCGGCCGCAGGCATCACTGGAAAACCATCCCCAGCACCCACCACCCACACCACAGCAGGGAGCAAACCTGGGCGCAGGGGTCCCCAGAGGGCTGCCTACAGGGTCCGCTAACCTGCCCAGGGCTGACAGGACGGATTCCGGGTGCACGACCCCAGGATCGCCCAGACGCAGCCATGACGGGCAAGGGCTTCACCAAGGACCACCACCCTGTGGCCCTCCTGTGCGGCCCCCACCCCCACGCCAGACTCCGAATCGCGGACCTCCGACCCCCTAGACTCGGGACCAGGACCCCAGATCCCGCCCCGGGCCTGCAGCCCCACCCAGACCCCAATCGCCGACCACCACCCACCCACCCCGGCCCCGCCCACGGCGGCCCTGACCTCCGCCTTGGAGTTCACTTTCACAAACACGCGTCCTCTGTCCGTGTCGTAACTCTGGCCCTGGCTAATGCACCCACCCCCCGAGTGACCCGTAGCCTTGACGAAGTCGCAGCCCAGCTCCCGCCTCAGCAGAGCCTCCATGTTCAACGAAGCGCGGTGGCCGACTGCCTCAGGCTGGGGGAAAGCTAGCGGCAGAGACGCACAGTGATTGGGTGAGGTGTGGGAGGGGCGGGATCGAGCCGCAAGAGCTCCCAGGGATTGGGTGAGACACCACGGGAACGGGGTGAGATGCTGAGAGGCGGGACCGGGCCGCCAGGACACCCGGCAATTGGGTGAGACGCTGAGGGGCGGGACCGGGCCTCTAGAACGCTGAGGAGCAGCGGGTCTCTTCCCGGGGTTGTGAAGTTGATAACTGGTGGTAGGCGAGAGAGCTCCCCCTTCCGCCCGCCGTGTCCGTTTTAGGAGAGATTGTCTTCTATACCTGCTCAAACACCTGATTGTCGGTTAGCCTCCGTCTCCCCAGCTAGAAGAGCGATCGGAGTCAGCTCTGCTTCCTGTATTAGTTGAGGTTCTCCAGAGGAGAGGGGACAGGATATGTACCCGGAAAGAGAGGTTAGTTTTAAGGGTGGGCTCTGTTAACCTTAAAAGTAATACAAAAATAATAAAACAGTTATTTTACCAGCAAAGATGGGATTATTTGGGAATAGCAGAGGCTTGCTTGGCAGGGTAAGTAGACTTGCCAGAACCAGGGGCAAGTCTGGAAAACGGGGAGAGGAGAGGGAGCTGTAAGCGAGACACATGGATGACACCAGGTGCTGGTGACACCAGGTGCTGGACACAAGTCAGACGGTGAAGTCATTATTCGCAGCAACAATAAATTAAGTAAAAACTGCATAAACAATAGAGGACTCGATATATTTGCAGTAGAAGTGGCTCCAAAGTCTACAATAGTTTGTCAACATGTGATGCCTCTGCGGGAACGACAGGACTGGGTATGTTACTGTGTGTATTCCCTTGTGTCTTAAATACTGTTTTCTACTTGAGGCTATCAAACCAAGAACTAGTCCAATTTAGTCTCTTATTTGTTGGTCAACTAAATGCTAATCAACTTCACTGATGCACATAATCTATTTAATTTGTATGTATTTATGTTCTATGCCCATGTTATAGGCTTTATTATTAAAATATAAATAAATAAAGGAAAGAGGGAAGTGTGATGCTCTCTCATTGGCTGGGCTGTTGCTGGAGCAGCAGGAAACCTTCCTGTTGCTGGGTAAGTACTGTCCACCTGCCTCTCCTCATGCTGGGTATGCAGTTGATAAGTAGTGCCAGGTGCCACAGCTCCCCTGCACCCCCCCCCCCGCACCCCCCTATCAATTTATTTAATTAATTACATCAACTACATTAAATTAAAATGTTAAAGGCTCCTGGGCCGATTTAGCAGCTTAGATGAGAGAATTGGTAAACTGGAAGATGTCAGAAGTCATGAAGAATGTGTCACAAGGAGACAAACAGGGAAATTACAGGCAAGATAAGAGACATGGAAAATGGTAGACATTTAACTGGAGTTCCAGAAAAGGGGAAAGAAACAGGCTATAACTGAACAGAAAATGGCTGAGAATTTTCTAGAACTGATAAAATACACCAACCATCAGATCCAAGTTCCCCCCAAATCTTAACCTGGATAAACTAAAAGTTCACATATAGGCAAGTAACAGGGAAATTGCAGGCCACCAAAGGCATGGGAAGTCTCCAGTGTAGCCAGCAAGAAATGTCAGATTGCTTTTATTTTTAATGTTTATTTATTTTTGAGACAGAGACAGAGAGTGCAAGCGGGGGAGGGGCAGAGAGAGAGGGAGACACAGAATCTGAAGCAGGCTCCAGGCTCTGAGTTGTCAGCACAGAGCCGGACGTGGGTGGCTGGAACTCACAAGCTGTGAGATTATGACCTGAGCCGAAGTCGGACATTTAACCCACTGAGCCACCCAGGTGCCCCCAGATTGCTATGAAATGATTAATGTTTGGTTTCCCAACACTAATACTGGAAGCCAAAAAGGTAGTGGAATAGTTGTCACCAAAAGAGTATAACTGCCCGGGGAAAATAAGTTTTCAAGAATGAAAATGAAGTAAAGACATTGCTTGGGAAGATGGCAGAGTAGGAAGACGTTAGACTCACCTTGTCCCACAGAGACAGCTAAATAACACGCACATCAGTGTAAAAAACCCAGAAGATGGCCCGAAGATGGCAGAACAGACTCTCCATAGCTAAATGTAGAGAAGAGGCCACATGGAAGAGGGTAGGAAGGAAGGAGACACAGTTGGGAGCCCTTTGGAACTAGGGACTCTCCTCAGGAGGGAGAGACACAGGTGCATGGAAAGGGGAGAGGACCAGACTCTCATGCCAGCCATGCAGTCATGGGAAACACACATGAAAAACAGAGGGGCATAATTTCACAAGTTTACAAGTCTGTGGGACTTAACACTTAGAACTTTAAGATATGATTCAGACTGGGGCTCCTGGGTGGCTCAGGCAGCTGACCTTCCGACTCTTGATTTCAGCTCAGGTCATGATCTCAGGGTCGTTGGGCTCTGTGCTGAGCATGGAGCCTGCTTGGGATTCTCTCTCTCTCTCTCTCTCTCTCTCTCTCTCTCCTACTGCCCCTCCCCCCCCATAAAAGCAAAGAAAAAGACATTATTCAGACTGAAGACCATTTGCTTTTATTTCTAGTGATGCAATTTTCTACCAGGAGGACCCTCCCAAAGGAAAGCCAAAAGGATGCTTTTCAGCCAAAAGAAAAGTGATCACAGGTTGTAAAGCCAAAATCTAAGAAGGAGCACAGAGCAAAGAAAGTGGTACATAAGTGAGAAAATCTAATTGTACAAAATAACACTGAGTCTTGTATGACAAAAAGAGAGAATTTTTAAAACAGTTGAATTTTACATTTTCATTTAAAAGGTTCGGGGCACCTGGGTGGCTCAGGCGGTTGAGCATGTCTGTGCTGACAGCTCAAAGCCTGGAGTCTGCTTCTGATTCTGTGTCTCCCTCTCTCTCTGCCCCTCCCCTGCTCGTGCTCTGTGTCTCTCTCTCTATCAAAAATGAATAAACATTTAAAAAAAGTTAAAAAAAAGAGTAAATTGTTGTAAGGTGTTTGTGTTGTTTGTTCAAGAGTAAAGGTAAAGGAGGGGCACCTGGCTGGCTCGGTCAGTGGCGAGTGCAACTATCAATCTCAGGGTTGCAAGTTCAAGCCCTATGTTGGGTGGATGGGTGACTTAAAAATAAAACCTTTAAAAAAACGTGAAGGTAATGATTACTTTTAGTCTTTGATAAATTATATGTTCATACTTAATTTCTAGAGTAAGCACTAAAAAATAGAGAATTTGTGTTGCATCCACACGACTTCTGAAACAGAATGCTACGGGCACCAGTGACAGTTTATTACAATGAGAGGCAAGGCCAACCGACCGGGACCGACACTCTTGACCAGAGTGCGGTCTCAAACAACCGGGGTACAGAGTTTTTATAGCTGACCACATCATCTTATCATCACCTGGGGATAGAACAAAGAAATAATTCCCAGATGGGGGTGGAAACAGTTCAGACATGCCCTTGCCCCAATCCAAACACTAAACCAGTTGATTTTCCTTAAACTTTTGTTCCCTTGATTGATAGGACAAAGCTGTTATCTTAATCTACAGTGTTAAAACAAAGCTGTTATTTCTTCAGGCTACAGGTTAGCCCTACACTACAATTTAACCCTTACAATTTGTAACTTTCCTTTTTTTTTTTTTTTTAAAGTTTACGTATTTTGAGAGAGAGAGAACACAAGCAGAGGAGGGACAGAGAGAGAGAAAGAGAGAGAGGGAGAATGAATTCCAAGCAGGTTCCACACTGTCACCGCAGAGCCCGATGTGGGGGTCAAGCTCACAAACTGGGAGATCATGACTTGAGCTGAAGTCAGACACTTAAGTGACTGAACCACCAGGCGTCCCATAACTTTCCTATTAATAGAAGGAAAAAGTAGGGGCACCTGGGTGGCTCGGTCAGTCTAGCTTCTGAGTCTTGGTTTTGGTTCCGAGCATGTTCTCACGGTTTGTGAGTTCGAGCCCCACATGGGGCTCTGTCCTGGCAGTACAGAGTGTGCTTACGATTTTCTCTCCCTCTCTGTCCTTCCCCTGCTCACTCTCTCTCAAAATAAATACTTTAAAAAAAAAAAAGCTTAATAAAAATTTTTGAAAAAGAAGCAAAAATTAACCCCAAAGAAGGCAAGAGAGTAAAAAACATGGACCCAGTGGGATAATACAAGCCCACATAATAAGATGGTGGGTTTAAAGCCAAATATATGGATAATTGCATTAAGTGTAAATGAACAAAATGCCCCAGTTCAGAAACAAAGAAGAATTCCGTTTTTTTAAAGTAGGTTTCATACCTAGGGTGGAGCCCAACACCGGGCTTGAACCCACAACCCTGAGACCAAGACCTGAGCTGAGCTGAAGCCTGTGGTTTTATACTTTTCTAAGGATGCCATTTAAAAATGCCATAGGCTGGGGGATGGAAACAACAAACTCATTTTCTTACAGTTCTGGGGGCTGGAAGTCCAGATCAAGTTGTCCTCAGCATCGGTTTCTGGTGAGACTAGTCTCCACGGCTCCAGAGCTCACTCCATCGTCCCGCAGCCTCTTTTCTGTGTATGTGCAGACAGTGAGCTCTGGTGTCTATTGGATAAGAACCTTGCCCTATGACTGTATTTAACCTTTATTACCTATCTCCAAATACAGTCACATGGCAAATTTGGGCTTCCACACATGGGTGAGGGAGAAGGGTGGACACCGTCTAGTCTCTGACTCCTGGTCAGTGTGGGGGCCGAAGGGCATGCTGTGGGTGCCCTGACCGTGTACCTTCAGCTCTCACAGACTCCCAGGACACCAGCCTGAGGTCCCCAGGCACCAGCTCCTGGGACTCTGAGCCTTCTCTGACCCCCACAGTGCCAAGGGGGTGCACTTCAGTCATTGCCCCACGCCATGGGGCTTCCTGGGTCACCCCCATGTAAGCTACTTGCACTTGTACTTTGTCTGCTTCTGGGGGAGCCCACCCCCAAGGCGATGGTAATGGCCACACAGGAGGGAAGGTGTTGTATTGGGGAGACCTGTGGTGGGTTCTGGCAGACTAGACCTGTTCTATTTTTTTTTTTAAGTTGTATTTAAGTAATCTCTACACCCCATGTGGGGCTCAAACTCATGACCCCAAGATCAAGAGGCGCACACTTCTACATGCCCCTGGACATGTTGTATTTCTTGATCTGGAGAGTGATTTATAACTTGAGTGCTTGAGTGTTCACTTTAGAATTATTTTTAAATGTGTGTGTGTGTGTGTGTGTGTGTGTGTTCATGCACATTTCCATGTGTATGTGGCATTTCACAATTTTTTTAATGCTTTCTTTATTTTTGAGAGAGAGAGAGCATAAGCAGGGGACATGCAGAGAGAGAGGGAACACAGAATCTGAAGCAGGTTCCAGGCTCTGAGCTGTCAGCACAGAGCCTGACGCAGGGCTCGGACTCACGAACCGCGAGATCGTGCCCTGAGCTGAAGCTGGATGCTCAACCGACTGAGCCACCCAGGTGCCCCTATATTGCATTCCACAATTTTGAAAAGCAAAAACAAGCACACGAAAATCTATAAATGATAGTCAATGAAATAATTAACACTTCAGGGGACCAGTGAGAATTAAAAATATTCTGAAGGCCAGTGGGCATGTGAATCACAACATCTGTCATTGTCCTGGACAGGCTGGTGACACCCCATCTCCATGGTCCCTGCACTTGCTCTCTGTGCCAGGAGCACAGGTTTCCATCAGAATTTCGCCACCACTAAGTAAGGTGTGCTGGAATGGACCTTACCACATCAAGTTAATTCCTGACCTCACTGAGATGGGGTCTCAGTGGTTTTCAATTTTTTGAAAAATTGTTTTTCAATTTTCATTTTAATGAAATTATTTTTGTCATACTGATGTGGTTTGAAGCATTGGGGTTTGGAGCCAACAGCCAAGAAAGAATTCTTGAGACATCTTTGGTGCAAAAAGGTGGTTTTATTAAAGCACAGGGACAGGACCCATGGACAGAAAGAGCTACACTGAGGTTGTGAGGAGTGACTGATTATATACCTTAAGGCTGGGAGGGAGTTAGGAACAGTGTAAGTTTCTAAGGTATTTTGGAAGCAAGGTTCCCAGGACCTTGAGGGGCTAGCTGCTATTAGGAAAAGATCATTTATTACTATCGAATAAAACCTCAGCGGGACACCCTTCCGATGTATGTCAAGGGACCATATGCTTGGAGGATGATCGCTAACATGTATCTTGGGGGTGGAGATAAAGGAAGTTTCCAAAGGGATGTTTACATGTTAAAGGAGACTTACAGGATCCTGGGGGGCTGGGCTAAGATTGCCTTTTGCCCTTAGCGAAGTGTCATCATGGAGGCAGCTGAGCTCCTAGAGGGAGGTCACTCTGCCAGTCTCAAGGATTTGTCAATAGGCTGTAAGTTGTAAGGAAATGTCATTTTTTTCTTTTGCCTTTGTTTCCACGTCAATACCAGTTTCATCCACACAAGATTTTGCAGACTCTGTACCTGCCCTTACAAATGCTCTCTCCAGCTCAGGATTTCTGCTGGGTCTAATTTTCCTGAACCAAGTAAAAAGATCTAAATTTCATCAGGCATTGTTTTAGCCAATCTTTATAAATCTGTGTTGATTATTTGCAGCAGGGATATTAATTATGTATTAGATAAAAGACCAATCACGTGTGTTTATTCAACCATGAGAAAATGCTTCCCGTTGGTTCCATAGAGGAAGATGGGGCTCCAGCTTTGCAAACCGGATGCTTTCATACCTCTCTGGATACTCTGTGGCCTTTGGGCGGAACTCCTGCTTTTCAGCAATCTGCTGTTGCCCCCTCTCAGGTCGGCCTTCCCTGGGACCTCTTCCTCTCTTGCAGCAGGGTTTGCTCTCCTGTGTCCTGAGGCCATCCTCCTGAGGAAGGCTGCAGCCTCCTTTTCCTTCCTGTCTGATTCTTTGTCCATGGCCTGCCTTGTGCTTGCATACGTGTGCACACTGGTACCTCCACCCAACTGTCCCCACCCTGGTTGGCAAGCCCCAGGCCCATTCCTGTTGCACAGCCAACGTGCGCCTCACCTCTCCCTGCGACAGCCCGTGATGCACTAATGACACTGAAAGGAGGGGACAGATCCCTGTTGGACCACAGGGTGTGTGGAAGGGGGAAGGGCGCCCAGTGGAGGCCTCCTAGGGTCTCCATCGGGATACCAGCAGATGGCGTAACTGAGCACTTACTGTGTACCAGCAGCTTCCCCAACACTTGTGACGTGTGCTACTCTGGGACTTCGCACAAGGAACACTTCTCCCTTAAGAAACGGGGAAACCGAGGCCCAGGGAGTGCGGTTGCTTGCCCAAGGTCACCCAGGTGGGAAACACTGGAGTCAGGATACTGCTTCGGGCAAATCTCTGACTCCCTCTGACCTCAAAGTCTGCAAAAGCAAGCTCACCGCACTCCCCAGCTGGGTCTACGGATTCGCGCGACTCTAACGGTGACAGAGGAGAATTGCGTCCGCCCCTGCCAACTTCCCAAGAGCGGGGGCGGCTCTCAAGGCTACCTCGCTGGTCATCAAAGTCGCGCTGGTCGTGTGGGGTCCCGCCTGAGCATTCCCGGGGACGACGGCCGCCAGCCTCTGACAAGTGGCTGCCCCGTCACGCAGCCCTTCCTGCGGGCCTCGGTCCGACCTCCGTCGCAGGGACACTCTCGCCCGAGCAGGTAGGGGTCGGGCCAGGTGGGGGGCTGCGCGCGGCCGAAAATGGAGGATCGCGGGGCTCCTGCCTTCGGTCCCCAGCGCTTCCGGCTGGCCGGGGGGCTTCGCACCCCATGTCCCTCCCTGGCTGTGGGGGGCGCCGAGCAGTGGGCGGGCGGGACCTAGGCGCGACAGCGGGGGGCGGGGCAGGTGGGCGTCTGAGCGGAGCAATGGGTGGGTGGGACCTGTTGGGCAGTGGGTGGGCGGGGCAAGGACTGAGCGGAGCAAGGGGCGGGAAAGCGGGTGGGCGGGGAGCGGGCGGGGTCTGGGCGGGTGGGAGGGGTCGGAGCAGGCGGGGCAGCAGAGGGCGGGGGCAGGGTGGGCGGGTCTGGGCGGAGCAGTTGGTGGGCGGGGCATGTTGGGACGGGGGCAGGGGGCGGGGCCTGCTGGCCAGTGGGGGCAGGACCTGAGCGCCTCAGCGGGTGGGCGGGGCAGAGGGCGGGGCCTGAGCGGAGCAAATGTCAGACAGGAAACCTACAGTAAATGGATTCTGTCTAGCGACTCTGGGGCTGTACTTTCTGTCTGTACTTTCTGGGGCATCCGTGAGGTTACAGTTTTGCCTAAAATAGGTTTTCTTTCTGTGGCGGAAGAACAACTGGCACCTTGGCTGTGAATTCTTGGTGAGTCATCAGCAAACAGGCACCCAGAGTGAAACTGCGCTCAGCTGTTAGTTGCTATTTACTTCTTGTCAGCAGGGGAGAGAAGTAAGGAGAGTTAATTGGAGTGTGCAAGTGCCTGGCTCTGGAGAAAATATGGTCAGTCGCTTTTTAGTTCTTCAGTCTATTTTTGTTTGAGCATCAGAGAAAGATACTTAATAAATGCTTTTCCATAGTCAAATGGGATAAAAATTTCACATTATGTAGAGAGATTCCTTTCATACCATCCAGAGATGGCAGATATTCCTTCTCTCCCACCCTCTGTAATAAAGGACCCCTCGATGGTGCTCTAGGCCAAAAGCCACTGCACAGTGCCGCACACACACCGTGTGCCATGAGCTCTGCGCTTCCAAACAGGTGACTGGCAGTTCCATGATTAAACAGTTACTACCGGATCCATCAATTCCAGGCCCACACACGTGCCCAAGGGACACGAAAACATACATCCACACAGACACTGGATACAAATGTTCAAAGCAGCTCTATTCCCAGAGCTAAAAGATGTAAACAACCCAAATGTTCATCAACAGATTAATAGATAAGCAAACTGTGGTCCATCCGTACAATGGAATATTATTAGGCTTTAAAAAGGAAGGGAATTCTGACACTTGCTACAACATAGGTGAAAAGTGAAGACATGTTCGTGAAATAATTCAGTCACAAGAGTGAATATTATATGATTCTATTTATATGAAGTCCCCAGAGCAGTCATATTCATAGACGGAAAGTAGAATGGTGGTTTCCAGGGGCTGGGGGAGGTGGATGGGGAGTGTTTATTTTATTTTATTTTTAAATGTTTATGTTAGAGGGGCGCCTGGGTGGCTCAGTTGGCTGAGCATCCAACTTCAGCTCAGGTCATGATCTCATGGTCTGTGAGTTCAAGCCCCGCGTCGGGTTCTGTGCTGACAGCTGGGAGTCGGGAGCCTGGAGCCTGCTTCAGATTCTGTGTCTCCCTCTCTCTCTCTCTCTGCCCCTCCCCTGCTCATGCTCTGTCTCTCTCTCTGTCAAAAATAAATAAGCATTAAAAAAAATTAAATGTTTATGTTAGAGAGAGAGAGTGTGTGAGTGAGGGAGGGGCAGAGAGAGAGAGAGAGAGGGAGACACAGAATCCAAAGCAGTCTCTCCAGGCTCTGTCAGTAAAGAGTCTGACATGGGGCTCGAACCCGCAAACAGCGAGATCATGACCTGTGCGGAAGTCAGACGCTTAACTAAGCCACTGAGGTGCCCCTGTTTTGTTTTGTTTTGTTTTGTTTTGTTTTGTTTTGTTTTGTTTTGTTTTGTTTTAGAGAGAGAAAGAGAGCAGGGGAGAGGGGCAGAGAGAGAGAGAGCGAGCAAGCGAGCGCGAGAGAGAATCCCAAGGAGTTTCCACATTGTCAGCGCAGGGCTCAATCTCACCACTCTGGGATCATGACCCGAGCCAAAATCAATCAACAGTCAGATGTTCAACAGACTGAGCCACACAGGCACCCCTCGGGAGGGAGTTAGTGTTTAAAAAAATTTTTTTTCAACGTTTATTTATTTTTGGGACAGAGAGAGACAGAGCATGAACGGGCGAGGGGCAGAGAGAGAGGGAGACACAGAATTGGAAACAGGCTCCAGGCTCTGAGCCATCAGCCCAGAGCCCGACGCGGGGCTCGAACCCACGGACCGTGAGATCGTGACCTGGCTGAAGTCGGACGCTTAACCGACTGCGCCACCCAGGCGCCCCTAGGGAGTTAGTGTTTAATGGGAACAGTGTTTCAGCTTGAGGACAACGAAAATGTTCTGCAGATGGGTGGTGGAGATGATTGTACAACAATGTGAATGTGCTTAGTGCCACTGAACTGTACATTTAAACATGGGTGAAATTGTAAATTATATGTAATATATATACATACATATATGTATGTATATATATTACTACAATTTAAAAATAAACACGAAACCAGGACTGTGTTGCTGTACTGACTCCAGCAGTGGAAGCTACAGTCAGGGCCTCTGGTCCTCATGGTTTCTCCAAGCCCTCCTTTTCTTAGTATAGTGGGAATGACAATCCCCACCTGTCAGGGTCACCATGAGGTTAAAGTGGGCCACCACAGGTGTCCCAGGACTCTCACTATAGGCCTGGACCACTCTAGATAGACCCTTTGCTCCTAGCCCCAGGTGCAGCTTGGAAGATTCTCCTCTCCTTTCCCCTGGAGTCACACCTGACCTTAACTTACCATTTAATGTCATAGTTGGAGGAAACTGAGATCAGTCATGATCAGCCAGGAGGTGCTCATGGGAGCTACCGTAGGAGCCCCACCTGTTCTCATCTCAGGGTAAGGGATTGCCATGTGCGATTCTGGAGACATTTTTAGTGGTTACAACTGGGAGAGGAGTTCACTGGCATCTAGTGGATAGGGGTCATCAGCATCCAGCGATGCACAGAACAACCCACCACAGAGCAGCCCCTGGAGGCTGGTTCAGATACCCTGCTCTAGACCCCAAGACCATCTAACAACCCAGGGAAAGGCTAGCTGAGGGATGGGTGGGCACAACTCTCCAGTGGGCAGAACTCCACACTCCAGAACTCATTTTTGCTCTGGGTGGTTCCAGGGCCCCTAACCACCATGGGCCCAGTTGTGGACTGAACATGTCCCTGCCAAAAATCCATATATTGAAGCCCTAAATCCCAATGTAATAATACATGGACATGGGGA